AATCAAGAACTCATACGTACAATCTAACCTGAGCATCAAATGCCTCTCTTAACATTTTTTTAGATGTTGTTCTTTAATGAAGATATGAAGTTAAAGAAAAAGCCCATGAAAGAAAAGGAAAGAAACAAGGTTGGAAAGACTATAACACAAGACCAAAAATTAAAAAACAAATTAAAAAGATACCCTAAATCTAAATATTATTGTTGGGTCATATGAATCTACTACAGGTTGTAGCGTTGAATTTAGACCTAGAGATTGTGGATTCAAACTTGAAACCCTCCTCCTTTTGCTCCTTCTCATAGAATGAAAATTGGGTTGGTGGTCGATGATTGTCGAGAACACTCTAAGAAGGTTTAAATAGAAGCAAAAAAATGAAAGTTTTTAATTCAAAAAATGAAAGTTTATAATGGATGTATGTATGGTCTTACAAGTTACAAGTTACAAACATTGATACAGAGGGTTCATAAACGTAAATTAGCATGTACTTGTTTATGGCTTAATTTTCTAGCTGTGGTGCCTCATCTCTTGTATAGAGAAGTCCTTTATAAATGTGCCCTAATACGAACAAAATGGGGGAAACGCCACAATAGTATCCAGGTATGCAAACCATGAACAAAAGCCAAAGAAACCAATCATGAACATACACAAAACCAAACTCAAAACTAACATCTAACACAAGACCTTGAAATAAAGAAAAACCCATTGTAAAAATTGTGTCAAAATAAACCAAAGGAACCCTAACTAACACTCAATCTTAGAAAAATTCAGATTTGATACACAAAGAACATCTAACACTGAACCCTCTAAAAATTTATGAAAGGACGTTGGGAAAGGTGTCGCATAATGAATCAAACAAATCAACAATGAACATATATAACTCAACACCAACATGCGAATTACTAATAAATAGCAAAATTTCAAATCTGATAAGTAGAGAACATCTAACACTGAACCTAAAGATAGAGAAAGAGATGTTGGGCTCAGATGAACCAAACAAACTAACAACAAACATATAAACCAACACCAACATGCAAATTTAAATTTCAGATCTGATATATGTAGAGAATATCTAACACTGAACACTGAACAATAGGACAAAATAAGATTAGAAAATGTGTCTCAATATGAATCCAACAAACCAAACATGAACCTATATAAGCCAACACCAACATGCAAATGTTTGCTAGCAGAAGAATTTCATATATGAAATGCAGATAACAATAATCACAAAGGAGAAGATTTATGCAAATAATAAAAGGGTGCAAACACTACTACTAGATCTAAGACATATAATTCATATGCAAGAGTTAGATTATACCAGATGATTCAGCTCTTCGACAGGAATATCAATCAAGTACTCTTTCAAAAGGTCATCGGTTATGTCCTTTTCATCCATTGATAGCGATGGTGGTACTTGGGTGACCGGTTTTGGAGCAAACAAACCACTTGGGCAGTACATCCCCCTGCTTGTCATTCCACCTATCTCTTGAACTTGGGTTTTGGATTGGAAGAGTCGCAAGTCTCTAGATTTGTTTGGAGTGAAGAAGGATGGAGAAGTAATGTTGGGTTAAAAAGGTTGAAGAAAAGGTCATAGTGCTCAACAACCATAATGTGATGATTACTTTTATGTCAAGAACTTTAATGAGAGAATCCCATTTCTGTGTTTTCCTAAATTGCCAGAAACACATGCAACGAATCAGAAGACACTTCCTTTTTCGAAAAGAAAAAATATTCTAAAAAACTATTACTTTTTAAACAAATTTTCTTTTATGGGCATACATAACACGACTATTGGTCTTTGGTGATGGAGGCGCTGTAATTTTCCTTCACGCCATCGATCGACATCGTCTCGTCTCGATCTTTAAACAAGACATAGATGATGCCAAAACTTATTGTTACATGTTTTCATAACAAGAAAGAACTTATAGTCATGAAACATGTCTGACATCGTTTAGTATTACTATCTTACCATTTTGCCGTGTAGAAATAACATTTATGTTATTTGAATTATTTGAAACCGTTATTAAACCGTTGTTTTTGGTTGTAAGGTTATAAAAATGTTTTATTTGACCATCATAACTGATAGCAACATCGATCACTAATCATCCCTCTTTATTTCCTCCTCAGTTGTCCGATTGGCCAGTATTTATATAAACAATATTCAATTTTTCAATGTAGTTCGCACATTTATTATGATACATTGTTCTTCTTTTCTCCATTAAAATTATTTGTTCAAGTCACTTCGTGTCAGACTAATTATGCTAAATGAGTAGTTTAGTAGAGTAATGTATTTTTTGGATTGTTTCCAATATCTAAGTAAACCAAGAGATTTACAAAATTAATGATATCGTATGAGAAATTTGAGAAACCATGCTTTATTGTAAAAATGAGCAAAATACAGGGTTACCAAACCTAACTCTAAATTAGCTAACCAGTTCGTAGAGCGGGAGCGTAAGAGCGTTTGATTTAGAGGAATTCAATATTGAAAGCGTGGATAGAGCGTTAAAATTATTTTACTTTATTTTATTTAATATTATATATAAATATAAACTAAAATTTTACTAATATTATATATAAAATATAAACTAATTTTTTAATGTAAATATATAAATTATGTAATTAGTACCTTAACAACTAAAAATTTAATAATTAGAACCTCAAAATATTTAGTAAACAAAAAGAGAATGGAAAAATATTAGTTATTAATGACTAGATAAGATGGGGAAAAAGTACCGCACGGTCCACAAAGTTACAGTGCAAAGCCAACGAACAACTTCTCATTTCATTTCTCTCTATCTATCTATCTATCTATCTTCGAAATAGGTTAGCATGGTTACTCATTTTTTAGTAATCACGGTGGCTACTAAAATCTACACTATTCATTATCTCTAGTTCACCCTAATTTAAAATTAACGATAAAGATTAGATTAACGATAATATTGGAAATGAAAAAAAATACCACACATGATGATCTATATATACCCAAACCCTACTACAACTCATCATCCTACCACCGTCTCTCCTCCCCCATCCCTCCCTCCCCCTCACCCCACCTCATCCCGCCTCTGGTAGGGATGGCAATGGGTCGGGTTGGGTTGGGTTTTGCCAAACCCAAACCCAAACTCATGGGTTTATCTTTGAAAAAAAACCCGGGGTAAAACCCACCGGGTTTGAAAAACTCAAACCCAACCCGTTGGGTATCCGCGGGTTCATGGGTACCCACGGGTTTTGTCTTAAAAATTTTACAATTACAAGTTCAATCAAAATTAAAGTCAAATATCAATCTCTCAATATAAATTATCCATATATAAAACACCATTCTAGAAAATTCAAGCAAATCACAAATTAACTATACAAATTGTTCAACACCAATCTAGAAAACTCATGAAAATTGAAGTAAATCACAAATTATCCATAAATAACATGTTTAATTAAAAGCTTCTTTCTTTCAATTAAGTTTCTTTAGTCTCCACTCCATAACATCAACTTCATTCTACACAATTAAAAAGAAAAAATTAGACATGTCTCCACAAACATAAATAAGAATAGTTGTTTAGAATATTAAATATACCGAAAAAATTAATTATATAAGTGGGCGGGTACCCACGGGCCGGGTTTACCTAAACCCAAACCCAACCCAACCCGGTGAATAGTGAACGGGTTTAAACCCAAACCCAGCCCAAAACCCGTCAACACGGATTTTACCCGCGTTGACCGGGTTGGGTCGGGTGGGTACCCGTGGGTTCGGGTTTTGTTGCCATCCCTAGCCTCTGGTGCAAAACCCACAACACCCCCCCCCCTCCACCCTCTCATTGGGAGAATTTGACTAGAGAATAAGATGCTTGGTTTTTTATTGGTAGTGTTTTTTTCGCATTGGTGTTTTTTTCGCATTGATTTTTTTTTTTGCATTGGTATTAATTATATGTAAGGGTATTGTTGTTTTGTGAAATGTAGTGGTAGTGTTTTTTCGCATTGATATTGATTATCATGTAATGATATTGATTTGCATGTATGGGTATTGATTAAATCTGCAATTGTATTGGTGTTTTCTGAAATAGTAGTGTTCTTATTTCTCGAATGGAATTGGTGTTTTGCATAATGCTAGTGGTTTTTTAATAGATTGGTATTGATTTATTATTGCAGCGGTATTAGTTTGCCTGAATGAAAACAAGGAAAAGATTGAGAGAAAAAAGGAAGAGAGATCTCATTGAAGATTCTGGAAGTGAGAGAAAGAGAGAGAGAAAATTGTAGTTAATATATTTTGGTAACTTCCTAAAATATAATTTATTAAAAAGGAAAATTAATAAATATTTTTCCGTTTCCCGATTTGCCTTTAGTAATCATGGTGAGTACTAATCCATAGTAATCCTCACAACCGCTCCCATCTATTTCTAAGTGGCAATGACATACGCCATTTTACTTTTCTTTTCAATTTCCAAACGCAAAATTTAATAATTCATTTTTAACTCCTCTCCGTTTTGGACCTTTCCACATTTTCTCTTAGGGCTAATACCACTAGGAAGGCCGAACTATGAAGAATGTGTCATTTGTATCCTAAAGTATCCAATATGACATTTGTGTCCTGACGTATGATAGTTGTGCGTCATTTACGTCATGACAATTTCGTTGACCATTATAGATAACGGTTGCCCAAATGGTCAACCATAAAATGTTGACTATTGGTTACATGGCACATATGTGGCAGCCACGTATACACCACGTCAGCTGCGACATCAGCTCATTAACACATAATATTTTTAAATTAAATTTGTAATATAAAATAATAAAATTAAAAATTCTATTTTTTAACCCCTACCGCCGGCCGCCGCAACCACCTTCTCTCATAACTTTGGTTCTCTTCGTCTCCTCATCTCCCTCTCCCTGGATGATTTGTCGTCGTTCTCCCTCTCCAAAACCTCAATCCACCCAACCATTATTCAGCATGTGGCCGGAACAGGGAAGCATGAAACCCCAGCTTCCAATTTTCACTTGATATTTAACTAAACCAGAGAGGAAACAAAATCCCTAGATCGAGGACACAAAAGGTCTCCTGGCAGGCTTACTTGCTCCTTCTTCACACCCGCTCGATCCCAAAGCTCGCCGAGGCGATCCCGACGGAGAAGTCGATGGGGGAGGATGATAACGCCGGTGAGCAGAGTCAGCCGCGACGGAAAGAACATCGATAGGGGGAGGATGATGACGACGATGAGGAGTAAGCGGCGGATGGCTGTAGAGGGAATAGGAGGAGAAGGAAGAGGAAAATGAGCGACGATGATATCATATCTTCTCGATTGATCGCTACCCAGCTCCCAACACCCTATTTTTCATCGTTAGATAGTTTAGTTTCTTACCGGTCTGCCATCTCTCAACAAATTTGCAATTGTTTCCCAATTTAATTCATCCATTGACAAACATCAATTACTCTTAAATCTCATTAAGGAACAGTAATATACATCTCAGCAATGTTCATTTGCTTCTTATGTGCCCACTTTTTCACCCTCTCTTTCTTTCTTTCTCTCTCTCTCTCACAGATAGTTGAGAGTGTTCTTCAATCCACCCAACCCTTTCTTTCCCCAACACAATACACACTTCATCCCCTGCGTTACGCAAGGAGTCTCGTACCTCAGTCACTGACAATCATGGCACTGGCAACCATCTTCTACCTTGCGGAGCTTCGGCAGTTTCTTTCTCAAGTGAGAAAGACGCCGGCAGCAGCAGCAGCATATCCCCGGTTTCGCCTCCGCCTCTGCAAGTGTGCAAAGCTTACACAGGCGGCACTCCATACTTCCCAAGCCCATCGCCATCCATCGCCTGCGCTTCTTCCAATGTCGTCAGTATTTGCGGTATCGACATCCCTCCCGAGATCACGATTTCTAGCCCAGCAACCAAACAGAAACCCATCAGCATAGATTACGAATTTGGGTATTGTTTCAAATCATATATACAGAGTAATACAGAAAAAAGAAATCAGCTCACCGATTCCTTCCCGAACCGACAGATTAGGCCTCATCACATCTTTCGAGCTGACGAGATATATGTCCCCAAGGTAGAGATGGTTGGTCGGCACATAAACGCAGCAGAGCTCCTCTGTAGCCAGGTTCCCGCGCAGAAGCACCGTCGAGGTAATGAACCCAAACGCGTATTCCCCGTTGCGCGGATGCCTTATGATGGCGACCTCCTTGAACGCATGCGAGTTCTGATCTGCAAAACCAGGTCAAAAAGTTTGATTCCTTAAAACTCTATTCTTCTTTTTTTCTTCCTTCCATTATTTGATGTTTACTAATTGTTGTTCACCTGGCGAGATAGCCGCGCTGATTTGCTTAGAAGCAGAGTAGATGTAGCTGACGAATGGCATTTTGTTGATGAACCACTCTCCCAAGCTGAGAACAGAAGCGCCCAACCAGGAGGACATGAACACGCCGACTAGGAATATGAATGTGAGGGAGGTGACAAATCCAAGCCCTGCCCATTTGAGCAGTAGTTTATTTTTGGTATGTTCTTGGTATGACAGAATTGGAAGGGAAAGTTTAGGAATGATGATAACTTGTACCCACCAAATACATTGATTCCGAGGAGGGCATAGATGGGGGAGAAGAAACTATCGACGAATCGGATGAACCACCATGTGACACAGAATGTGATGGCTATCGGAAGCAAAATTACACTGCACCAGCAATCAAGAACGACATGAAACATTTCGCTACACAATGTATGAATCTAACAGTAAAAAAGTTTCATAGTTGGGGGTACATACCTTCCTGTGATGAACTTCTTCCACGCCCAGCTCCGGATTAGCTTTGAAATAGCCTGTTCAAGGAAGCAGTCGCGGAGTTTAATTCATATAACCCGAATTACAAATAAGAAAAATTTCCACAAAACCCTAATTCTGTATCTGATCGTTGGCGAGAAAAAATTCGGCGATTAGAGATAGACGAACAAGGGAACCCGAGAAATCATTTCATTCATCATTCTTCTGTCCTGAAAATTTCTGATCACGGAATCGAACGAGCGATCAAGCTGGAAACCAGGATGAGAAATGCGGGAAAGTAGAGCCCTAATTGAGAGAGGAAAAGAGAGAATGAAGAATTTGCGGACCTCTTTGCCGGAGCTATGGGAGATGACGGCGGGGGAGACGACGGAGGCAGAGGAATTGGAGCCACCATTGGTGATGCTCTCCTGAACCTGTTTGTTGGGTTGAATGGGTATCAGTCGCTCCAGATCCCTCTCCTTGGACGCCATTGCCGCCAATCTCGATGAATTCATCCCGCGCCTGGTCGCCTCTTCTCTTTTATGGCGCTCCAGAATCGTTCTTCGTGCTGTTTCTATAGTAACAGTGTCTGGTGTCTGGCGCTCGCTCGCTAGCTGGAAAAAGAATGAGAAATATGAAGCAACGAACTCTCTCCAACGAACTCTCTTTTTGTCGCTATTTCTGTTTTTTTTCTTACCTTCCATATGGGCCTCCTAATAGCGACCGTTAGGCTCAAATGGTTTCGGCCCTAATGTCAACTTCGGCCCACTAGTGGTTCAGGCCCAAAGACACGAGAAAGTAAAAAGTAGTTGCCGTTGGTTGGTTCTTTTCGTCGGCGGGAAGGCGTTGTATGTATCACAACTCTTCTGATCTTGGAAGATACTTTCTCCCTCTCCGGTTCGATCCTCTGCCGGGGGACAGGAATCGCGGAACAGGAAATTTCTCTGCTCTTGATTAGTTGATGTGCGAGTGCGACTGGTGAAACTGAGTGCTTTGCAATCCAGGCCAGTAAAGCAAAATATATTCCGGTGGAATTCCGACGGCGAGGATTGGGGAATCGGGTCGGAGAAGGTGAGTCTCCGATCAAGAAGAAATGATAACTCGTTCCAAGCTCGTAGAGCAGCTCTTCGAGGATTACCGGATCCGAGCTCAGCACAGGTGTCCTGCGCTCACCATCTTCTCCCCCAAGCCGCACCTCGTTTCCTGGTAAACACAATTTCCTCCTCTTCTTTCCTCCGTCCACTTCTTGAATCGGTTACATGTTTCGTTCCCGAGGCTCCCGATTGATTTCCTATGAACAGCGGGTTTAGAAATGCTTGAAAAGTCGAAAGGGATGATGATGAACTTGGTTAATTGGACAATTTTGGAGGTGTCCTTTAAATTCTAGGGTTTAGGTCTTTGGTTTTTCCTAATTTTTCTCTCCGAAAGGCGGGCCCTTTTAGTGTTGATCATAATTCAGTTTCCGTTTCGAGTTTTCAGTCGAGAGATCATGGACTATTAGGGTTACTGTTGGATCGATTCAAGCCCCAACTGAACTGTAGTTTCCACTTTCCAGCCACTAAGCAACATGTATGGAAAGTATGAATATTAAGGAGCTATCATCCCAAGCTTACTAGCTCTCAAGCATCTATAAATTGTCTTTCTGACACTGTGTCCTGTGCCTAATTTTGTGCAGGGCTGATGTTGCCGTGGCTCTTGTCTGGGCATTGGTGTTCAGCATGCTTGTGATCTTGTCCTACGCATCCATTCATTTTCGATACTTTTGGATTTCAGTTGTTGAAATCTGTCTTGCAATCTTGCTTCTTTTACGCCTCCGAAGTTCAAGGCAAGCACTGGCCAAGAAGAGGGACAGAGGGCTGCCTTTATCGATGTAAATAACTTCCCTGAAGACTGAAGAGAACGAAACAAGTGGTACAGAATGATCTTCTGATGCTTGAGGGTTTCTTGTTACGTCTAACTGATGGGTTCTAAAACTTGGAGCACTTGGCCATCCGGAAAAATCTGGTTCACCGTGTCTGGAATGGTATGCATTTTCTTTCCTCTTGACCGATGTTGTTACAATACCATACTCAAAACATGAGGATACTGCACTACGCTCTCTTTCTCTGGCATGTAAACACATTGTCCATCATTTCAGCTAAGGGCAGCGACATGACAATTTTCCGCTCTTGCTGGCTTGTAAATCTGTTTAGTTTAGGAGAAGCCGTCTGAAATGGGATCCTGGAGTTGAAGAATCAGCTGTAAAAAAATTGCTTCCTCAATTCAAATTGGCCCTGTATGCCCCAGTTTGACCTCTTTGGCAAGATATGTATCTATTGTATTGTCTGCAGTTTGCAATCATCCCCACTTATTTGTTTGAAGATATGATGGGTTGAACTTGGTTATTAACTTGTTTTTAGGAGGCTGAGATAATTGATGTCAGCCATTTGTCATTGCTTGAACCGCAAAGAGTTTAAATCCATCAAACATAACGCAGACCTACCACCCACCAAATTGTACCAACTTCTGAATCCTTGCAGACTTTGGTCTTTGTTATATTGTTTAGATACCTCAATAAGTACCTTCCAACATCTCTGACGTTGAAGTGAGAAAACATAACATTTAGAATATGCTGCGTGAATTATGAAGCGTTGTTTGTAGCGAAGAAGGAAACATGTGTGCATGTTTGCAGGGATTGTGCTGCCAAACCCATTAGGTTTTCAGTTTGTACAGGTTGGACATACCATTCCTTGTACTAAACCATTGTTTGCTTAAATTGGGGGTCGTCATGAGGATTCGAAGTCATGACCTTTCGGTTCTAGGCTCTGATACCATGTTAGCGAACTAACCAATACTATGTAATAGTAAATTCTCAAAACTTTCGGGTAGGCCATGACCCCCCTTCCTTAACGTTGACTTTGTCCCTCGTAATCATGATACCCCCTAATGCAATAAGGTGAGGTTAAATATGACTATGTATTGGAGTAATCCTCATGATGTGAAATTGTGAATGGGGTCATCGACATACACCCCTAGCGTGATGAGTTGGAGTAAAATTTGGCTAATTCCGACTAGGATGAGGAGGCCCGCTGATGTAATAGGGGTCGTTCGTATATCATTTGGCCTTTAGTGGATGGAATAATGACTAAGTTCGGAACACCCTTCCTAGTGTGATCCGAGGAGTAATCAGGAATTCAGGATACCTCCTAGTGCAATAAAGTGACGTGAAATTGGATTAGGAATTACCTACCTTGGTGGGTAAGGTAGGGGTTTGGAGATGGAGTACCCCTCTGAAGTGAGAAGGGGAGGTCATCACTCATCAGCATACCCACTAGTATGACAAGGTGGAGCAGAAATTGGCTAACTATGGATTTACAAGTCAATTATTAGATGATGGGTGTAAAATTCATAGGATCCATAGATTTGGTCTATATTTTTTATACAAATCCATGGATTCCGTGTACTTGTAAATCTCACAAATTAAGATGAGATTTGTAAATTTTTAATGGCTAATGATATATGTAACAAATCCATCATAAAATATATTATCAAAGGTATCATGCAAATAATAAACTCTGCAGATTCATACATAATGCAATAAATCCATTTTAAATCCCAAAATTGTTTATTTTAAAACTCTTTTTTTTGGTTTAATTCACCCGTGTAGCCATAACTTTCATGGTTTTGACAAATATAGCCACTTTTTGAATAATACACAGATCTAGCCATTTCCGTCCTATTGTTTGACGGTTCACTTAACTCGCTGACTGGACTAACGGTAGCGGCTGATGTGGCGTTTTTTCATTTGCGTCTTTGCCACGTGGATTTTTTTTTTAATTAAAAAGTAAAATTAGAAAGAGAAGACGAAAAGGGGATTCAGATCGGGTTCCCCTTTTTCGTTCAACTTTCCCAAAACAACTCTCCTCCTTTTCTCTCGACTCACCCCAACCCTTCCCGATCGTCGACAAAAGGAAGCCATGAATTCGGCCGGCGAGTA